AGAAGCAAAGGTAGAGATGCCCCAGCTGAAGAGGTGGTCGGACAAACATCCATTGGTGTTGGATCTTTGTTCCATTTAGAGCTTCCGTGCCATTGAATACTGGAAGATAAATATACACTGAAACTGTTAGGAGCAGGAAGTATTCAGCATGTTTCAACGTATTTTTGCATTAAAGGTGTTATGAGCAAACTGCTTTTTTTATTGTTGCTGGAGTGACTGGTAGTGGCATTATTCACATCTTAGAGGATGGAATCTGAAGCTGGAAGGAAGAGAAACAAAAGCTGACAGCCTCAAGCAATCAGCAGTCATACCTGAGAGTAGCAGGGCGGGGTGGATTTAAGCAGTCTAGTGGTTCCTGACGAGCAGGGTATCTTTCCTAAAAGCTTAGCAAATAAATCACAAGTGACTGGGGGATGAGGTTTGTCCGGTGCTGGGCCACAGACCTGCTGGCATCTCAAAGTATTCTGCCCATAGCTTGTCAGTTTTGCCACTTCCGAAATGAAGCTATTGAGGTTGTATCCTCCCTTGGAGGCAAATGCATGGAAAATGCCTGTAGCTTGGAAGTTGCGTTTCCTGTGGTGGGGAAAGTCCTGAGAAACTCCAAGCAGATAGCTTTGGTATTAACCACATGGTACTGAACCATCACTTTGGTTTTACAGTAGCACATACATGTTGCACAAAGGGGTTTGTTCAGCCCATCTTTCACCTGGCTAATATATTGCAATGTCTCTGTTCCCCCGCCAGCCTACTTTTCTTTCCAAAGCCTAGAGTCAAATTCTACTTTAGGAGGACAGTGGGTCTCAGAGGAGGGAAAATCTTGGAGCCTTCTAAGCACTGTTACAGGCTGGCATATCCTTTGCAGGCTGAACAGTGATGGGGACAGGTTTTCTGTGGTTATGATAACTTCCTATTTATTCATCTCAGCACTGTTTTGCCGATCAACAAGCTATCTTCCCTTTTGCTGTTAGTTTTCTCTCTCTCCTTGCCAAGTCTGAAGTGCATGTGCAGCACTGTGGGAGTAGTCAGGCTTCTTCCATAGCTAGAGAAATAAGAGGAAAAGCTCTGGTCTCTGCTGCTAGCTGGGCTTTTTATTTCCTGTTGGGTTTATGGGCTAGAAATTGAGTGTGGCAGGGTGATGGGGCTTCCTTTGGGGACTTCAGGCTGTATGATGTGGGATTTGCTTGCATTGTCGTGACTCAAAGTGCTACGGACAGCAGTCTGGCACAGCTTAGAATATCCTCAAATAAGGGATTTCTAAGTCTGTGGCACTGTTTCTCTTCCTCGCTTTCCAGTACTGGCTGGTTATGTAAAGCAGTTGTGCCTGCAGCAAAGTTTTCAGGAAGACAGTGAAATTGAGTGGTTATGGCTTGATATGTGGATTTAAAATGTCGGGACACATCATCAAGTGCCTCAGTTTCCCTACCTGTAAAATGATGCGTTGTTCTGTAAAGAGCTCTGCAGCTCAACAGTGAAATGTTTGCCTACAAGACAGGTAAGAGCCACCAGGTCCAGCAAGGGACAAATAGGCACCATTTCATTTCTTCAATAATGATGTCATCCTGACTGCTAAAAATAAAGTTCTTCTCTGCCTAGCAGCTGAAAGATAAAGCAGTGCACAGGTTGGAAGTTTTTTCCATGTCAGTGACTGATGCTTTATTGCAGTTTCTGCTTTGAAGACTTGAATTCATTCCTAACTCAAATGTGAGACATAAAGATAAGTATCTTGACAACTCACACAACAGGTCCATTGATGGTGTGTCTGTCCAGGTGTTTGTATGGGACGTGTCTCGGAATCCAGACAAGTTGTTAAAGGAGTCAGTTCTACAGGCATGCGGCTTTGCTGCCGGGAGGAGTATGTTTTCATAACCAGACAGCGTCTGATACAGCTGAGAATAGTAACTCTCACGCTGAGCTGTGAGGAGAGGTGAAGGATCTGAGGGAAAGCGATGGTAAGCAGAGGCATTATTCGTGGGTGGATTCTTTTCTGAGCTGTCTTGAAGATGTAACAGAAGTGTGAAGAAGGGACGAAAGCTGATTTATAGGGTGTCTTAGCACTGTTGCTGTAGGGATTCTGGGACCTAGTCCTGTACATGGCAGCCTTGAGAGCTATTGAGAGTTCCCCCTAACAGGTAACTATATGCTACCGACTGTTGCTGCCATGTGGGATGCTGCTGATATGCTTGCCGTGCCTGGAGGTACAGCAGAACCCCATACTGATTTTAGAGCAGGTGAAACCTTGCATGCTTTGCAGCTGTACTGTTTCCATCTGTAGCTCCCCACCTGGGGAGATAAAATGTGTGCTTGCAGTGTTTGCTCTTGCAATATGTAGTATGTTGCAACGGTATGGCAGGGAGGACCTAGTTTGGTCTCTCTCCAGCACAACTATGGCCACTGCTGCCTCAAGTGTTGCCACCCCTCGTTGGTGGGCTGCAGCTGGGAACAGCTGCTCTGGTGAGTTTCTTGTAAGATTGAAAGGCTAATACAACTCAGGGGTGAGAGGAAGAAACAGAAGATGGGACAGCAGACCTGAAGGACCTGTGTTGCTTGAGGAGAGCAGTATGTACCGTCCCTCAAGATGTATTTAGCCCTGTCTAAAGAGTTGTGATTGCCTTGGGCGGAAGCCTTGGAGACTTGCTTTGGGGGAAGCATCCACAGAATTCTCTCTTGTGAAAACTGGCATGTGTGGGGGTAGAATGAGGTCTGTCGTTCTGCGCTGACAAGCGGCTGGTGGATGTGCTCCTCTGACTGTAATTTTATGTTTATTTAACATATGCCTCTCCACAGTCATGCATCCCAACACAATGTTGAGTTGGAATGGACGTGCCCCACGCTGAATTTTCAGAGCTGATTTAAGGGTCCTAAACTTGTGTTTAAAATAGCCCCTCCATTTTTTTTTTCTAAAGAAGATGGAAAGAACTGATCCAAAAACCTGGTTGTGGTTTTATTTGTTAAATACTTCAAAGCATCTAGCAGATTTCTCAGAGGCAGTTGTGAGCACATGAAGCTCGCTTGTCTAATGAATGAATCGAAAGTGTAAAAAGGAATAATGTATTAAAATTAATTGGTATTTCAACTTAAAATCATACCCCATAAAATTAATGCCAAGATTTTCAACAGCACTAAAGCAGCCTTAGCAAATGATCTAGTTTTAATCCGAATCTGAATGCAGATGGTTTTTGTAGCCTTTATCTCCATCTTTTCTCTTTCCCCAACTAAAGATTCTTTTCACCTAATATAAGGTAATTTTTTCCATCCACCAGAAAATGTCTTAATCTGAAACTATCAGGATTCCAAAGTCTTACTGATTAAAAACTTCAGGTGGCATCGGCATGATTACATTTGACTGTTTGGAGCTTGCTCTTTAGGGGTCCAGTTTTTTTGAGATGCCATTAAGGAATTTGACTTCTCAGGAGGAACTTCATTAATATCCAAACCCTTTGCGTTGATTCAAAGTAATTATCTAAAACTTGAGGTTTCTGGAATTACTAGTTAACTAAAAAAAAAAAAGGCCCTGTATGGTAGTAGTAGGAAGCCATTTTGTGGTGTGAGAGAAATCCTTTTTCCTTTTCTCAGGTATGTTTTTGACCACCCAAGCAGAACTTTATTAGCCAAGGGCTGGAACCCCTCAGGGACTTTAACTGCCTGGGTGGTGATTCTTTGATTCAGGGAATTCAGTTCATGAAATTATCATCTTCAAGCCTCCTTATCTTAATTTTTTACCATATAAGTACTTTGGAGTGTGGTGGTTTTTTCTTTTTTCTTTTTTGTCTTTCTGGCAGTTCTTATCTCTGCTCATGTGCAGGAGTGGACAAGCTTGCAATTTGCAACTATGATGGGTGATTCTTTTTTATGTCTCTATTTTTGTGGACTTGCCCTGAGGAATGTCTAACTTTACATAAAGCTGAGATGATCCCCTGAGGGGAAGGGGATGTGAAGAACCCCTATGTATTGTAGGTCTCTTCCCCCTGCATATCCATTAACATCTCTGGGTGCAGCAGGTACCTTGGCAGGGCAGGGGCTGCTCAGCCCCTTCCTCTCTGCATTGAGGCTCTTGTCCAGGTGTTCTGTGCATGGCACCCAGGGAGGACCTTTCTGCCATGACCAGTGTGTAAGATTCTACCTCTTTTTGAAAAGCATAAGTGCTTTCAAAATACAGTATTTGGGTCTGTAGAGATACAGACAGGCACCTTTCCTGCACGTTTCCAGGAACTGATGTGAGGAACATGCACAGGCATACAGGCTTGAGCTCCTCTTACAGCTTCTAGTCACCATAGTAAGCTGGTGTGGGTAATGCACTTGCAGAGCCTTGTGCCAAGCTGCTATGCCCTGCCTTTCCGGGCCTAGCTGTATGGGCATGCCTAGAATAGATCTGGATCTTTTTGTTTGACTTGTTTGCTTTGGGAATGGAGCAGTGTGCCTCTTTTCCTTCCTGGACTGAAGTGGTCTGTGCCTCTTCTTTTAAAGCAGGGAGTGGGAAAAGACAATAGTGCATTTCTTTTTGGTTGCCTCTTTTATGAGTGTTTGGACTTAACCAAATGAGTTTCCCGGCAGTGTGAAATAGTGTGACCAAAAAAAAGTAGGGAATCTGGGTTTTAAAGCCACATTCTGAGCTTTCCTTGGAAAGATGTGGCAGGGGGGCACCCCCCCCCCCCAAGGAAGTGTCTTGACTTCTATTTCCGTTCCATCCTCTTGCTGTAAGAAAGATAACGTTGGTCCCTCTGCAGGCTGTTTTATTTAGTCTGTTTATTGCCACCTGACTGTGCTCAACTTGCCCTCCAGCAATTTACTGGAATTCTCATCAATGAGAAAAAGTAGGTCGTCCTAGCACAGTTTGGGTGGAAAAGGTTTTGCTGTAAAGTTTTTGCGACTGAGAAATCTCTTTGCTACTCAGCTAGTTTCACCAGCACATCTGGCCACTTGTGTGCAACTTGCAGCTGTAGTGGCTTGTGTTGCATCACGCTTCTGCCAGAACTGCGGGAGAACATCTGCCTATCTGTGTATGTAGTGTGGTGCAACTTCTTGCACCTTGAAATATGGGAAGATTTGTTCAGCCTGTACTCATGTTATGAAGTCAGCTGGCTATCACCAGCCCAAATTAGCCAGCATGGATTAATCTGACCAGCTGTAGAGTAATGCTGTGGTCCCACATGAAGCTTTTGGCATAGGCTAGAGCTGGCTGGGAATGGCAATACTGGTAGAGCCCAAGAAGGTTCACTGTGGTGAATGTGGGTTTCAAGGCAAATGGCACGTGGGTAGCAAAGGCGCAATACTACTTCAGGCTTCCTGTGGTCTAAGCCATAATGTTTCAGGAAGTGGTGTTTAACTCAGCAGGAGTTAGTATCGGAGGATATCCACTGTTTACTAGTTGCAACATGAACACCTTGGTTTTGGGCTGAATTACTTTGAAAAGAAATGTTACATGTAAAACCAAAATATGTGCAGGTTGAGGCTTTGCCTAGCCTACAGAAATGTTGCTGGTGTGGACAACTCCTGAGGAGTTGGCACAAAGCCAGGGTCCTGCCACAAACGTCATGCTAAATCCCCACTTTCCTCTTAATCTCAGGGATTCTGTCTCAAGTTTTCCAACCTGAATTAACATCTGTCTCCCCTCCAGCAAAGTCAGGCCCAGGAGGAGGGTTACCCTGTCAGGTCCCAAGGAAGAGAACAGAGGACTGCATTCTCCCTGGCCAGCACGCTGTAGGGTAGAGGTGAGTAGCAGCAATGGGGATTTGAATCGGAGGAAAACACAAAGCAGCAAAGGCTAAGCCTGTGTTTTAGGAAGCTATTAGTCTGATATAACAACTAAATGGAAAAAAGAGCTCATGGTTAAGAGGCTGCCTGTGGGCTATTGTGTGTTTTATACTTATTTGAGATTGTGTTTTGGTCTTGGGGACTCCTAAGAGCCTTTGAAAAGTTGGGAAATTCATGGTCTTTTGAAATTATTACTGTTGTTTCCTTCAGAGTTTGAATTAATTTCTGCTTTTACTTTCTCCCTCTTTTCCACCAGCACACTTAGTTATTTGAAACACAGTTGTGGGGGGTGGTTACTATGAAATAAGATCATTCATCACTAGCCCAGATCTTTGATGGTTAGCAGGCCATCTGTTTCGGCTCCTTGGTGCTTTCACCCCATTTTTGGTCAGAAGGTACCTGTGCAGCAGCCAGGTTATTGCCCTGGGTGAAGAAGGCCTGGTGGGAAGGTAGTGCCTGCTTTCAGCCAGGCCCTGCTCATCATGAGTTGAAGCCAGCTTGCACCAGAGACTTCTGTGTGCAGTTGTGGGACTGTTGCGTCTAAGGCGGCAAAGGCAAGGTTCACAAACAGGATTCCTACCCTCCCTGCCTTGGCATTTGCTAGGTAGTCTCGTGTTATTGGCGCTTGCTGTGCTGCTCCTGCACCTTTCTTGCTCTGGGACTTCCTGTACCAGATGTGACTACTTGGGCTGCTGGTCTGACCCACCTATCGGCTATGCCTGACTGGGTGAGGAGGGAGAACTGTGCTCTTACCAGCTCCCCTTTCTTAGTGGGTGAGGGAGGCCGCTCTCTGCCCTCCCTGCATGCTTCTTCCCTTGGGCACTGTCCAGCCGCAAGACGGGCCGAGGGTGTCAGCCCTGAGCACGCACCATGGGGGCAGAGGAGCTTGTGACCTGGGTCCTGTTTTCTCCTTTCTTCCTAGTAGGCCTCCCTGGAGGCTTAGTGGAGTTGTGCTCGTGGAACTAGAAGCCTTTGACACTTGGTCCAACCTTCCCTGTCCCTAGATATTTGTTGGGAAAGTATTGAAATAAGCCTGAGTATACACGTGTGTATCTGCACAGGGGAGGTAGGGGGAGGTGCAGCTGAAGTCCTGCAGATGTGTTGCAATGTCAGCTGGGTGTTTCACTTCAGAATATGCTGCTGTGCACACAGACCCAAGCAGCTCACCTGCTCTCTGTAGGTACTCGGGAACTCCTCTGTGATAACGCTGCTTTCCCTTCCAGCCTCTGGCACTATGAAGGGTTGTCCCTCCCTTCCCCAGCACCACCTCTTGGCTTTAAAGCCCCATTTGTAGGTTGTGTCACTCGACTGTCTTCTACGTGTCTGTGGCAGGAAGGAGTTTCGTGCCCCTCGTTCATGTGAGTAGGGCCCTTCTTGCTGAGACAGTTGTGGTTTTCTTAGCTTTTTTTACGACTGCCAGTGTGTGATGGGCAGCCCTCTCCAGAAATATGGATGCGCATCACTAAAAAGGTAATTTTCTACGAGACGTGGCCAGACCCATGAGCACTGCTGCAAGGTGTGGGTTTATGGGAATTTTTTTTCCTTTCACGCTTTTCTTTCTCACTCTTTTGCAGGGCAAGGACTTCTGGTCTGAAGCAGAGAGTGACAAGAGCTGCTCTCTCTGAAACCGTCATGGAACAGGTTAGTTTCAAACGTGACTGAAGTCAGTGGTTCACAGTGACCAGTGGTTCTCTTGTGCACTTGTTCTGAGATACTTCAAAGGGGATGAGCCTCAAAAAGTGCTGGCTTGTGTCCTTCTCATCTTCCTCAGACTTCCTGCAGGGACCCCAACACTGCTTCTCTCCATCATGAATACAGACAAAGTGGATGGAACCACTTAGTTTGCAAGCTGCTTCCTTGTTACCTTGCAGTGACACTCCCCCTTTAAACTGCAGGCTGGAGATGTAGCTATTTAAGAGAATACCATGTTTATTTATTAAGCTACAGATTACTAAAACTAATAAGTCAAATTAACAGACACACCACTGTGATCAATTTATTGCATTGTTTTGTGCAATATTAATCACAATTATGAAGCTACTATTTATCACGCTTAAATCTTATTTAACTACGTTAAACTGCTATTGAAATGCCTATCATCCTCCTCACCCTACCTAGTGTTAGGGTACAATTATAACCCTCTTTGCGCTTCCACAAGCCTTTTGAATATAAACCTGATGACTAGTCCCGTGGGTTGTTCAAGGGCATCGCCACTGGTGTCCCGGTGAGCTTGGGTCACCAGGTGAGCTTTACTGCTGTCTGTGAACATCCATGCTCAGATCATGAAGATGTGCCTTCTGTTGATCTTTGACTGATCATATACCTTATTTTGCATTTGTTTCCATTTCTGGACTCTCCTTTTTGTTGTCTTTGTTCCTCCCTTTCTCTGCCCAGTCTCCTCTCAAGTAAACAACCTGTCCTTAATTACTTTTTATGCATTTGTCCCAATTTTGCTACTGTTTTCTAGGCAATATGGGTCCTGTGTGATATTACTGAAATGGTTATGTAGATATAGGTGGCCTTGCAAGGTTCCACTCCCCAAAAGGTACCTGAAACTCCCTTTCAATTATCAGGTTCATCCTGGTTGCATATTGATTTCCCGATGCGGCTGGCAAGACAAACCATTCTACTGTAACCTTGATTCTTCTCCCTAGTTACAATTAAGCCTAAGCATTTTCTTATCTTACAGGCAGACAGTCTGCATACCACAGTAAGGATGTCTTTCTCACTTTATTTCTGTGCTTACACAACATCCTGCTCTCTTAGCTGCTTAACTAAAATTATTGGACAGTGTCCTGGTTTTCTACAGAGGCCTTGGTTATGAGGCCCCATGTTCCACTGTGACCTCTTGCTCACATCAATCTGACTGCCTCATGGACCTCCTCAGCCTAACTAATTCGAGCACTCTGTGCTGCCTTGCTTGAAGGCGGCAGGGTGCGTGGCTGTGGAGGTGGCATGTGCCTGTTTACTGCGGGTGAACGTGCCAGTGTAGATGACACCAAACACCAATGATCTGGCATCTCACTGTCACTAGTCTTGTGGGCAGGTGCTTGGCTCTCTACAGGGAGCTGAACAGGTTTATTATGGAGCTAGTCGAGCTCCCTTTGAAGAAATGCGAACCTTGGGGGTTTCTGCAGGCTTATGCTGTTAACTCTGTTCCCCATCTTGTTACTGCTATGCTCTGACTAGCTTTAAATGGGGAGCTGCTGGCTTTGTTATGCACGGGAAGTAGTAGAATGCCTAATTCCCAAATAAAGGGTAAAAACCTTCCAAACATAGATGTCTGAATAGGGGGAAGTGGGTGGTTTGTGCTGAGTACACATCTGTTTCAAAAGAGGAGCTCTGATCAGGGTTTCTGTCACTGCCACAGCTGGAAATGTGAGGAGAAGGTGAGCTGACTCTTCCACCGCTGGTGTTAGAACAGAGCCATCTTTCATTCACTATCAGACAGTTCTGTGTGGGTACACATCCAGGAGTTAGCGTGCATTTGTTGAAGTCTTGTGGACTCCCTGGCTAATGCTATTCAGGATGCCCAAAGGAGGCCAGAAAAAAGTTCAGGGTTGGAAAACAGCATACGTGTAGACCTTTTGAGTGGGACTTTTCCTAGGCGTGGGCTTAACAGTGATTTTCTTATGTTTAAGATCAATGGATCTGTCCGGATGGAGCATGTGCTGCTGTACACCTTCCTGGAGGTGTCCTCTGACTGTAACTTCAGAGAGCAACTGCATTCCCTGCAAAGCCAGGGGATTGTGCCTTTCCTGAAAGGCAGCTACTGTTATGATGATGAGGTGGAACTTCAGACCGATGGTAATCGGAGTGGCCACTTGCAGAATGGTGAGCTAGGTGAGTGCTCTTTTCTCCATCCTACATGCCTCTCTGAAGATGGTGTTCTTCTTTCCCCTTTTCCCATCTTTGCTGGTGGTCTGTTTCAGAGGAGTAATGTTTTCTCTATTGAGAAACTTCATGGTGTGGCTGGTGGTGGTGTTGGTTGGGATTTTAATGCTTGGGATAAGACAGCTAGTGCTTACTGCTTTATCTCCCTGTGAATTTCTAGGGCACCCACAGGTGCCCTAGAACACCCTGGGGTTTTGTCTGCAGCCCATCAGACAAGGGCCACAAAGCTGGTACTAATGATTGCTGTCCTCAAGGAGCGTGATATTGAGCTGTTAAGTTAGGCTTCACACTGCTCATCGGGGAATATTGGTACTTGGGCTAGGATTTTGGAATGACTGTTGTTTTGGTACTGACTGAATCCTTTTCTGCTCTACCAATGTGGTGGAAACTGTTCCTCAAATAGTTTCTGGTACTGTTCCTGCTTTACTAGCCATCTGCAGGATGGCTATTGCCCCTTGCTGAGGATGTGTCAGCTGGCACATCGACCTTAACCTAAGCAGGGTGAGGAGGAACTGCTACAGTAAATAGCCCTCCCTCATACAAAGCTGCATAGTCTCATGCCCCCAGTGACAATGGGAAGCTTTTCCAAAAGGAGATAGGACAAGGGGGAATGGTTTTAAACTAAAGGAGGGTAGATTCAGACTAGATACAAGGAAGAAATTTTTTACAATGAGGGCAGTGAAACACTGGGACAGGTTGCCCAGAGAGGTGGTAGATGCCCCATCCTTGGAAAGCTTCAAGGTCAGGTAGGACGGGGCTCTGAGCAACCTGATCTAGTTGAAGATGTCCCTGCTCATTGCAGAGGGGTTGGACTAGATGACCTTTAGAGGTCCCTTCCAACCCAAACTATTCTATGAGATGCTGTACTTTAGATGGTGCTTAAGAGACAGGTCCTGACAGTCACTTGAAAAAAAAATCGTGCACACTCTCTCACTTCCCCTTGTCTAGGCAGGGCGTTAGCTGTAGCTGTCCCGAACAAATTTTGGCTGGAGATGTTATGACCTCCCCTGTAGTGTGTTTTTGGCAGGGTGCGGCTGCACTTTACCTAAACTACGGCTAAAAAACCTGTTTGCACACTGTCTCTGGTAAACGAGTCGAGTGCACACAAGGGAGTTGTAGTGCGTATAGCTGTCACGAATGCACTATGATTGCGGGTGGGGTGGGAAGGAGGTTGTTAATGGAGATGGGCAAAATGCTATGGGTCAGCTTACCTGCACCGAACCTAGTCTGACTGCAGCCTGTGAACTAAATCCTGCTGTATGCATTGGCAGTGCATGACCCTGAGGTAAATGAAATTCTCCGGATCATTGCTACTCAGCTCGCTGAGATTGGAGACCAGCTTGATAAAGAAATCAAACCAAGAGCAGTAAATGATCTAGTGCAGCACTTTCTGAATGAGAATCTCTCTGGAGAGGTGAGTGAAAAGCAACCTGATTAGCAGTTCCCCTTTTAAATGTTGTGCGTCCTTCCTCTGTGGTTTTGAAGCAGCAAGCTTGTAACATCTGTATCTTTGCTAGTTTGCTGCTTTAATGATTGCAATCTCAAAATTTGGCCCAAACATTTCCCTTTGAAGATTTGTTAGAGGTGATGCTGTATCCTGTGGCAGCTGTTGCTGTATCCTGTGGCAGCTGTTGCCCTGCAAATTGGGTTCCTTAGGCTCATCTCCTTTCTGCAGATGGTGAAATTGAGGTAGTTGTGGAGAAGGACTGACTTTCAGAGGCATTTTGTCCTCATTTTGTTGGCCCAATGGCTTATCTTTGAAAATCAACTGTCTGGTTAAGGCTTAGTATTTGCCCTTAAGATCTTTGGACTTTGGTGTTGAGTTCTGTATGTCTGCTGCTCATCACGTGGGTAAAATTTGAGCCGCGTTAGTGCTAGAAGCTTTTGACTTGTGCTTGTTTACTGAACACTGAAGAGACAGCAAGTAGTGAGACCCTAGTGCCATAACTGTTTAGTTCATAGGCTGTCAGTGTTGGGAGTAGCAGTGGGTTTTGGCCTGGATGGGTGACCTGCTGAGAAGGCCTCTCTAGGTGGCATCTCCACCTCTTTGATGCAGTTGCTCTCCCACCGATAGATGTGATGTAGTCCCTGCATCTAATGTGCTTCACTGCTCTGCAAAGGAGGTAGAGTTTGAGGTCCCCTGGGTTAGACATCCCTCTCTTTTCTCTTTAAGGATTGGATCCACATCTGGTTCAAGAGCCACAGTTTGCTTCCACAGAGCCTTTTTGGCATCTTCAAGATAACCGTGGCTTTCTGGCTTGTTTGGCTTTCTCTGCCTGTGATGAAGTTTCCTATGCTCTACAAGCTAATGTTGTCTTTGAATTGAGGGTCCACCTTTTTGCTGAAAAGGCAGGATTTAATGACTCCTAACAATCTCTTTGGTTTTTTGTGGTGTGGGTTTTTTCTACCAGGGTTTATCACCTGCATAGACTGATTCCAGCAAAGTCTGACCATTCCCCACACCTGCTGTCTTGTTCTCCACCCAGTTAAGTTTCAGGCCTTCAAATTTATTGGCTAACCTTTCAGTCTTTGATAAGGCTGAGTCAAACCGAACTTCTGATCAGGTGGACCTTGCTTTTTCACATTAGTAGTGTAGCTTAGTGTGTGCATTTGCACATTGTCCCTCTTGGGAAACTGATCTTCCACTGATCTTGGGAGCAAGGCAGCGTTCCATGCTTGGACACCTTCTCTAGCTCTTGCCTATGTGAAGGCTTTTCTGTGAAACTCACTTTGCCTTCTTGCCAGTCCCCACCTAAGCTTGTACCCTGATCTTCACTGGGTTTAAGGTGGATTGCCCTTTCCTGGGAGCCCCAGGATTCCTGTGCTATTTCAGGACTTGGGCGGCTAGGTGCAAACCCTGGGGAGGAGGGGGGGCTCTTGCACCCTGAGCGTGTAAGGTGCTATCTAAATTTTCCAGTAGTATGTGTGTTGTCTCCCTTTCTTTTTGTCTTAGGTGAGCAGCTGAGCGCAGAGATAGTCATCCTTATTGCCATCCAGGCTGTGTAACAGGCAGGCTGCTGTGCCTGGGAGGAAGCATCCTGTGAGGTGTTAGAACAAGCACATCAGTTACCAGCACAGTGCGGGCAGGCTGTGCTGAGACCCCTTTCTCCCACAGCTGTTGCACTGAGATCCCTCTTTTCCTTCCATACAGGAAATAACCCGGTACATGTCAGAGGCAGTGGAAGGGCTTGCACGAGCGCTCCCCTCAGACATGGAACAGGAGAAGGCCATGTTGGTGCTAGCGATGGTCTTAACTAAAAAAATTGCAAATACAATGCCCTCCCTTCTACAGCGTGTCTTCAGCACCACTGTGAACTACATCAGCCAGCAGCTTCACAACTACATTGTCAGAATGGTGAGTGCTGTCAAACAGCTTGGTGCTAGTCACAGCTGGCCTCTTAGCCAGCCTAGGTTATTCCTGGGGGGGTGGCCTAGCTCTGAGCTGCCCACAGTCTGCTGGTTTCCCTGTAGTGCTCCGGAGGTTTGGCCAGAAGGGAATGCCAGTCCCTGCAGAGCTCTGAAGGTTGATGAGCTGAGGGAGGGAGGCTTGAGGGGGATGTGTTGCAGCTTCTGCTTGCCTCACTCTTGCAGCAGCCAGTGAACAGAGTGCATCTATTCTGTAGGGCGGAGAGAGGCAATTGCTCCTCTCCTCCCTGCAGTCTCTTCAGGGAGCTGTGCTGGTAAGACTCAGGTTAATCGTGCCCTCGGGAAGGAAAGCCTGACCTGAGAGCTCTGATGGCTGTACTTCCCAAATGTCTTGGGCCTGAGGTCTCTGCTCTTGTCTTCCTGGGCTCCCTAGAGCTTGGCAGAACTGGAAGGGGAAAGGAATTGCCCCTGAGAAACAGCACCAGCAGAGGAACAGTGAGAAATGGTTAAATGGGAAATGGCAGCTCCATTCCTGTTCTCTGGAGCTGCAGCATAGGTGGGGAGACAAAACAGCTAGCAGTCAAGCCAGGGCAGAGGCTAGGGCGTTTGGCCCCAGCTTCAGCAACTAACCTGTCAGGTGAGGGGAGAGGAAGAAATCCCTTCTGTGTGTGTGCGTGCGCATGCACACAGGCGTGCACACATGTATACGAAGACTAGGTACTTCTTAGGAAGGATTTGAGAGCGGTCAGGGCTGTGATCCTGCCACCCTGTGGAACAGTGGTGAACCACTTGGGTGCTGCAGGTCTGTGGGACACCCCTGCACTGCAGCCTTGCCATAGACAGCATTGGCAGCAACCTGCAGAGGGGCCCAGCTCACCCCATGTCACGAGACCAGGCAGCTGCAGCCTCGCGCAGCAAGGCACAGTGTCACTGTGAAGTGTCACTCAGCACTGTCCTCCCTTTCACTCAGCTTAGCTCAAGGGTACCGAGTTATCACAGAAGCCAGTCACTAGCGTAAGGGACTGGCCCTCATGCTGCCCTACTGCTCTGGGGAGTGCTGCCACAGCAGGCCAATAACACAGTGCAGGGAGAGCAGGCAAAGGGCTGCTGGGCTGATGGTTGTCCACCTACCCCAGTGTAGTAGCATTAGCGGTGGGATAGAGCTGGGCTGTTCCACGCTGTTCCTGCAGGACTGCTTGTGCCAGCTCTCTCCCTGCTATTAGCACAGAGAGGGGTGGCTGAGGGGTGATGGCAGATGCGCAGCACAGCAGGTGGCAGAGTTGTGGCACGGTTTGTGGTGCTGGGGACACGCAGAGGCAGCTGCTGCCCCTCTCCAGGAGCTGCCAGGCTCCTCAGGCAGGTGGGCACAGAGGCACGGGGCTTGCTGTGGCTCTACTGCTGTTAACGCTGGTTCTGTTTCTCTCCCTCTAGCTGCGTGACTGAGCTCTCCAGCCCTCTGTGTGAAGAATGTGGATTTGTGAAGACTTTTGACTTTTCTTGATGTATGCAAATAACTTTTTCTGCTCTTAACTTATGAGATACAGCTGTGAAAGGGAAGGCAGGGCTTCGTAGATAGGCTTTTGTAGACTAGCACAGCAATGACAGTAGTGTGAGCTGCGTGCCAGCTCTGCCAGTACCTGTTAAGGAGTAGTGCTTGCCCTCTCTCACTTTACAATAGGGTTTTTTTCTTTTTTCTTCTTAGCAGTAGCAGGCTTTTTGCAGAACTCCGGCTTGTGCCTCCAGGGGAAATCCTGTGGGCAGAGAGCCTGCCCTCTCAATATTTTTTTTTTTCCCCCTAATCAGCTATAGCATTTTGCTTTAGTTATTCTCTTTCCAGCCCTGCTCCTGGTGCTGCAGCTGAGCCATGCTGAGTGTTAATTGTTCCCAGGAAGGCCTCAGGCTGTAGAATGGGTGGTTGATCAGCACAGATCACCAAGGGGAACAGAAAAAATCAGGCCTATCTTAGAGGGGAGCTGGCAGCAAGAGGAAACAACCCTAAAGGAGGCAGGGGTGTTTGGCCAGGGAAGGCTAAAGTAAAGATGCTTCAGTGTCGATTGCCATTAACCTGTACTTGCTTGAAAAAATAAAGCTGAAAAAGAAATTTTAAAGAAAAGGACGGGTAGGTACAGGGCAAATTTTTTTCAGGGAACAATCTGAATATGCTTGAGGAAAAGTGTTTAGCTTTAGAGTATCTTGGTATAAAGAGAAAGAAGGTGTTGCCCTTAGATCAGGAACACTACCTAGCATCTCTTACAAGGGTATTCTAGTTACATCTCAGGTTGAACAAACTTGGACTCAGGTGGTTTGATACGTACCTGTAATTACACACAAGGCAGTAAAAGCTTCACCTGTGATCCATCTGCCTCAGAAGTTTTGAAATGGTGTAAATATCTTGTGGGTTTTTTAAGTTAAATAAAATTGTCAGTTCTCATGGCAATACAGCTCTTAAGAATTTTAATTTCCACTTGGCTTTTTTGTTGTTGTTAGTTTTTTGTGCAAGTTCTCATGGCATTCCTCTAATTTACTGCTGCTTATGATGCAGCTGGCAGCAATAGAGACACCCTGCATAAGCAAATCTTGCGTAAGTAAACCACCTTTTTTTTCCCTTGTGCCTACACTAGAACATGGGGGAGGGGGGGAGCACAGAAGTAGTCTACACGTTGTTTTTGAAAACTGTACCATTTATTAAAGTGCAACCTGGGGGCATGGTCTTACAGCAGTGTCCCATTAGCAGAGGGAAAAAATGTACATACCCCTTCACTTCAACTGAATATAGAACAATGAAGCTGCAAAGAACTTTCTTTTAAAGGTGGAAACACTTTTATTAACCAAATGGCACAAGAAGCTTTAGACAGTTTTCCCCAAGAGGGTCGCACTTGCATACTAAAAGGAACAATGTGACCAGTTCCTTGGTTAATGGGTGACTTGAGGACCGGTCAGGGTCTCTTCCCCCAGGCAGGCCTCTTGAGAACAGATTCTGAAATCCCTGCAAGTCCGTCACTACCTGCCTACACCCAGCAGAAGCCTAGTGGAAGACATCCCCTAACGTGCGCGCTTCAGTCAGTCCCATTAGTCTTTGCTACTTAACAAATCAAGTGGCATTCTTTCTTTTGGTCTGAGAGGGTTTTAGCTTTACACTTGAATAAAAGCTTACGATGCAAGTTAAAAATGGGGAGAGACCCCCTAAAGGTACAGCAGTAAGATGCATCCTCTGCAGCTTGTTCTGGCCAAATCGTATAGCGTTCCTTCCCTCCCCTGCAGATACTGCAAGGAGATGAAAAGCAGCTTCCACTGGAAGCTAAGCGTAGCTCCCCCGCTTCTACAGCATCACCATAGACCTCTAGCTAGGAGGAAGCAAGTCAGCCTACCTAAGAGACCGAGAGAGGGTCTGCTCTGAGTAGGGAAAAAAGCAACAAACTTATTTAACTTAAGGAGGCGGATCTGAGGGTGTTGTGGCTCCCCTGGATGTATTGGTAACGCTACAGCTGACCCCTTCCAAGCTGGCGCAGTTCTCATTCCCCAGCCAAGTACACTACTCAGGAGAGTTCACTTCAGCAGGCGCAAACAGGGTACGGTTGCCTAGAGCTAGCCCTGCAGTCCCGGCTCCGTGTGGGCCTGAGAGCCAGCTCTACCAGAGTCGAGTAGTGGTGGCTTACATCTTAGAAACGTGTCCCCCCCCTTTTTTTTATGGCAATACTGAGCTTGCACTTCAAAGCACAGACACATACACGGAGTCAAAGCCGTACTGTTCTTGTAACCTTTCTAGTGCCAAAATTAAGCAGCCCAAGCCAAATTAAAGTAATGCACAGCTTCTGCCTTCAATAGGCGCAGGAGAGGATAATGTGCCTCACCCCTCCGTGTTTCACTGGGAAGCACTTTCTCCTGTTGTGTAACCTACTGGAGTAGACGCGACGCCTACTGTGTGTGTCTGCTCCTGTTGGAGTAGACACATGGGGATGAGCTGACCTTCAGCACATTTCATGCCTGGAATGAGGCATTCTACTGACGACCTGGGCTCCACCTAGGCATGGCAGCTGGGGCTGTGTTCACCCCTCCACACCACACCCCCATTTCACAGCAAAATAATCTAGTAATTACACTCTCAAACTCCATAGCATGAGCTCGCTCTGGTTCAGTGAATGAGAGCCTATGCTGCCAGAAGCACTTCTATTTTTTGCCAGAATAGCAACATCTACCTTACTAGGGATTTGCTAGTACTG